ATTCCCATCTGGCAATTCAGAGCTACTGAACCAGAACCCTCTAAATAGATTAGATCTTCCTCGTGTTAGTTGGTTCTCTGAGTGTTTCCTAATCACTTAGTTTAATATAATACCTTATGACATTCCTGATATTTTTTTTACCAGGGATTATTACTACCTGACACTATAACATGTATCTGTTTATATTTTATTACCAATCTTCACCACTAAAATGTAAGCTCTATGAGTGCCAGGAGTTTGTCTTTTGTTCCTGCACCTAGAGTAGTGTCTTTCCTGATAAAAATATTTATTAAGTATAAATATTGGTTAAATGAATAACAATGTAATATAGTCTATATAATTTAAGTTTATTAAATGAATATGAATAATTCCCACAAACAGTATAGATTTAATAGAACAAGAAGCTTTTTTAAAAAGTTCAACTAAATAGATCAGTTTTGGCCTGTTTTGATAATAAATTCAGCCACATTTTGTTTTATTACTTTGACATGCATTTGGCAGAAGGTATATAAAGTAACTCTGGGATATCATTTCCAATATATTTTCACCTTTTTTTTGGTTTGAACTTGCTTTAGAGCTAAAACATTTGTGGATCTTATAAACTTCTGTCTCCTTGGTTGATTTGATATGTTTTGAATTCAAGCAGACTTTAGAACTCTGAAGAATAGCAAATATATGCTATCAGATGTTTCACAATGAAGCATGAAACACAGAATTCTAAGCTTACCAGAAAACAATTTTTGAACCTCTCAGGAAGGGTATGTATTAATGCTTAGATGATTAGATTGTTTGGCAGATTATTTAATGCAAGGAAAACTGTGCCTGTGTTTGTGTCTGCATCAGAGATTTTGCTTTCTTTGGGTAAATTCCTAGAAGTGCAGTTACTGGGTTGTATGGTATTTCTGTTTGTAGTTTTTTGAGGACCCTCCATACTGCTTTCCACAGAGGCTGCACCAATTTACATTCCCACCAACAGTGTAGGAGGGCTCCCTTTTTTCCATGTCCTCACAAACATTTGTTATTTCTTATCTTTTGGATAGTGGCCATTCTAACTGGTGTGAGAAGATATCTCATTGTGGTTTTGATTTGCATTTCCCTGGTGATTAACAATGTGGAGCATCTTTTCATGTGCCTGTAGACCATGTATACTTCTTTGGAGAAATGTCTGTTCAGGTAACCCACCAAATTGGGTTGTTTGCTTTTTTGGTGTTGAGTTGTTTATATATTTTGGGTGTTAACCCCTTATTGGATAAACCATTTATGGATATATTCTCCCATACTGTAGGTTACCTTTTTGTTCTGCTGTTGGTGTCCTTTGCTGAAGGATAGGTATTAGCTCTTCCTTAGATGTTTGGTAGAATTCAGCTGTGAAACCATTGGGTTCTGGACTGTTTGTTTGAAGTTTTTGGATTACCAACACAAATTCATTACTGATACTTGGTCTGTTAATATTTTCTGTTTCTTCCTGGGTCAGTCTTAGAAGGTTGTATTTTTCTATGAACTTGTCCATTTCTTCTAGGTTGTCTAATAATTGACACGTACTTTTTCATAGAATTCTCTAATAATTCTTTATATTTCTGTGGTATTCTGTGGACTATTACTTCTTCATTTCTGATTTTGTTTATTTGTGTCCTCTCTCTTTTTTTCTTGATAAGTCTGGCTAGGAGTTTATCTATTCTGTTTGTTTTCTCAAAGAAACAGTTCTTGGTTACTTTGATTTTTCTATTGTCTATTTGATTTTGTTCTTGTCTATTTTATTTCTGCTCTGATCTTTATTGTGTCCCTCCTTCTACTAATTTTGGGATTCATTTGTTCTTCTTTTTCTAGTTTCTTTAATTGTGAGTTTAGACTGTTTATTTGGGATTGTTCTTGTTTCTTGAGGAAGGCCTGTATTGCTATGTACATCCCTATTAGACCCACTTTTGTGGTGTCCCACAAGTTTGGAATATTGAATTTTGGGTTTCATTTATATCCATGTATTCCTTGATTTCTGTTTTAATTTGTTCATTGATCCATTGATTATTTAGAAGCATGCTGTTTAGCCTTCATGTGTTTGTAGGCTTTTTTGTTTTCTTTGTGTAATTTATTTCTAGTTTCATACCATGGTGGTCTGAGAAGCTATTTGAAACCCTTTTAGTCTTTTAAAATTGACTGAAGCTCTTTTTTGGCCTATTATGTGATCTATTCTGGAGAATGGTCCATGTTCACTTGAGAAAAATGTGTATCCTGTTGCTTTTGGTCAACCTATATGACCTTTAATTTCCTCATTGGGAAATAATAATGTTGAACTGGATTATTGATTAGATATTTTAATTTTAAGATACCATGAGTTTTAAAAATATGTTTTATTATGTTGTATTATTTCTAGTAGATTTTAGATTACAACATAGTTCATGTGAGTTATGCATAAATCACATGTATTTACTTGCAACCCCAAAATAAGTTAGGCAGAATTTTTAGGGGGAAATGTGAGCAACAATATAATAGTACAAGTTAAGAGGTACGTTTGAGATATAATGAAGGATGTTGTGACCAGAAGGGAGACTACTAGTTAAAGACAAGTAGGAGAAGAGATAGTAGAGATAAGCAACTAGATTTCTGAAGATTTAGATTGGCAGGTGGAAGAATTTGAACTTAAGAGGTTCAAGAATGCAAAGGATCTTAGGAATTAGTTTGGTATGCTAATCATAATCATAATGGTATATTAATCACCATCACTAGTAGAATACAATTTCCTAAAAGGAACCAGGATTCAGAGAAATGATTGATGCCAAAGCAGGGGCAACAAGCATGTAAGATGAAAAGTTTATTCAAAAGCTCTTTGGAACCAATTTATAGAGGCTGTCATCACAAGCAATAGTGGGAATAATTTTAATATCAAAAAGGATAAAAATTGCATTGAACGAAACATCAAATGTGCATAGGAACATTAATTTATTATGATAGTATAAAAAGGAAAATTAATTTTGAAAAGTGGAAAAGGGAAAGGAATATTCATTTTGGGTAATCAAAGGGTACATGAAGAAAATTTTCTCATATGGAAGTCAGGAAGTATCCCAGCTAATAAATGAAGAAGAAATGATTAAATTAGAATGTCATCATTCTCTAACCCCTAATGAACTATTGGATCTAGGTACTGACAAAAAATGGCTATTGACAACCTGTGGGACAGAGAGCTAGGCATTATAATCCTCATTACAGACGAATGCAACTTATGATTTCATAAGCAGTTTTTCCAAAAGGAATCTTAATCTAATCAGAGTGATTCTTAGTAGGGAGGGCAGTTTTGCTCCTAAAATGATATCTGGTAATGTCTAGAGACATTTTTGGTTGTCACAGTTTGGGGTGTGTGTGTACTACTGGCATCAGTGGATAAAGGGCAAGGATGCTGCTAAACAATTCCCAGGGCAATAAAATACCTGGCAACAAAATGTCGATTTTTATTTCTGGCTCAGAAATCCTGATTGATAGGAAATATAAAGGGGAGAGGAACATGTTAAGTGATATTACTGGGATATAATCAGCAAAATACCAATAAATGAAACTATGTGAAGAAAGACTCAACATTGCTATTGTTTCTTCAACAACAATAGCAAAAAATTCAAAGAATAAAAAGAAAGAGATAACCTACAGACCCAAAGAGACAAAAAGACAGATCAGCCTATGAAAGGTGAGAAGACCTTATTTCGATTCTGATTCAAACAAACTGTAAAAACTCCTGACATTTATGAGACAATTAGAAATTTGAACAGTGATGGGATATTTAATGATATTAAAGGAATTTTGGGTGTGAGAATGGTATTGTTATATTTTTAATAAAAGACTTTTTCTTCTAGAAATACACCCTGAAATGCTCGTGGATGAAATATGTGATGTCTCAAAAAGCTTCAAATTAATTTGGGAGAAGAGAAGAGGATAGAGAAATTAAACCTTGAAGATCAGCTTATATGTTGACAGTTGAGATTTAGGAACAAAGAGGTATTAGCAGAGCTGCTGTGGGACAACTGTGTTTACTAGTGTTCAAAGGCTAAAACCAGCGCTCTTCATGCTTGCTAAAAACAGACTAAAAGAAAGGCAATTGACAGGAAAAGCACAGCAGACTGTTAAAATACAACGACGGTTCTTTCTTGAGAAGGCAGAGTTATTGAAACATCTGACTCCTTAACTGGACCACCATAAATATTTGTCTCTAGTCACTGAGCTTCTCATGTCAGTTTATTACAGACTGACAACAAAGTTTACTAAAATACTGAAATAAATACTCCTAAATAATCTTTTAGCAATTTCTTGTTTCCACTTTAAAAATAAAGGGGAGGGGGTAAAAATAAGTAAGAAAGGTTTGGCTTTCTGGCAAAAGTTGAGGGACCTGACAATATAATAAAAATCATCAACAGATTTTTGTGAATATGCACCATCTGTATGTTATGTGGGTACAAGATACTCTTTATCTCATTTACATTTTATTGATTAAGCCTTACCATAGAATGCTAAGTGGGACCAAAAGCCTAATTGCTTAAAATATAAAGTCACAATATTACGGGGTAATAAAATTTTCCAGGTGAGGCTGTACTTCACCAAAACTTCGGGGAGCTCAGAAAAGCCATTTTGTGGGAGAGGACACTGACTGGTGGCAGCTGTACATTCTGACTTAAATATTAGTGGGAATGTTTCTGGACCCTCTGGCTGCCATGACAGTGGTAGTGATTTCATAGATCTTTTGATTTTTTGGTGTGTGTTTTGTGGATATGGGGGCAGAATAGCAGTAGGAGAGCATGTCCTTTACCTCCCAGCTTTCTCAGCTGGGGTTGCCTATTGATTCCTAACCTGCCTTTGCTCTGTTTTCCCAAGAAATGAAAGTGAGCTGACTTCCATTCAGTTTCTAGCCTAATTTGCCTTTCCATGGAGTTAAACTCACAAAAGAGCAAGTGATAGATCCACCATACAGAGAGACTGAGCTTCAACAACAATAGACAATGCAAAGCAATTTATTCAATCTCCAGCATACACAAGAGGTGTCAATATTCAGTCCCAGTGTCTTTTGGCGACACTCATGATTCATGGCTCATAATCTCTGTTGAGTTTAGAAGATAAACTGAAGGAAAGGATTGGAAGAAAAGTTTCACCACCCCAGGAATATGCTCCTTCAAATGTTTCAAAATGTATAAAGTGAAAGCCAAAATTTAAATTCAAAATGAAAATGGAAAGTTTGTTGATGCGACCATGTTTCTAAAGTCAAAATGACAGGAAGAAGCACTGCATATCAATCATTACAGAAAAGCACGAATGAAAGAAGACAATATTTTTGAGGAATGAATGGTAATTCTTTAACCCAGAACTAATTTTCATCTTTTCCCATCATAGAAATGACTTCATAGTAAATTTCTTGAGGGGCATCCATTGCCCAGATAAAGTCCAAGTGATTGTAAGAAGGAATCTTCTTGTGGTAAATAAGATTAGGGAGTTGTGTAAGCAAAATGTCAACATCTCCAGGGTCAGCCAACAAGTCATTGCCACCATTCCACACTGCAGTTGGCACATGCATAGCTGTCAAATTGTAGGTGGGAGGTATGGGCTAAAACACAAGAGAGAAACCACAGTTTCAGTGGTCACTGCATTGTAAACTTGGACACTATTCCTTAGGTAGATTACGTAACATTAACTGACATAGATTTTTTAAAATTGAAGTATAATTGACAGCAGCAATATATTAGTTTCAGGTGTACAATACAATGATTTTATCTATGCACGTATTGTGAAATGATCACCAAAATAAGTCTAGTTAACATCCATCGCCGCACATAATTATAAATTTATTTTTTCTTGTGGTGAGAACTTTTAAGATCTAATCCTTTGGCAACTTTAAATAGACTGCACAGTATTAACTGTAGTCATCATGCTATATATTACATCCCCAGGGCTTATTTATTATACAACTGGAAGTTCATATCTTTTGACCAAATTCACCTATTTTGTCCACCTTCTACCTCTCACCTCCAGCAAATATCAGTCTGTTCTCTGTATCTACAAGCTCAGATGTTTGGTTTTTGTTTGTTTGTTTTTTAGATTCCACATATAAGTGAAATCATATGGCATTTGTCTTTGTCTGTCTGACTTATCTTACTTAGCGTATGTCCTCAAGTTTCATCTGTGTTGTGGCAAATGGCATGCCCTAGTTTTATAAGGACCTTCTGAGCAGAGATTGCTCAAAGAAAGTCACCTTTGTCCACAGAGCAACATGGATGCAATATGTTTTATATTGGTCCTTCTCAAATTCATACAGGTCTGTGAATCACCTGGGATCTTGTTAAAATGAAGATTCAGCTGCAGTCCTTTGGTGGAAGAGCCTAGAATCTCTGTTCCCAGGTACCAGAGATGCTGCTCATCCTGCACTGTGATTTGAATAGCAAGACTCTAGGTAACAATCATTACACATTAAAAACCTAAATTTCAACTCAAGTTGAAGGAAGGGGACTTGACTGGGTTCTACTATTGAGTAATAAATCGTTTCTATGCAAATACTCTAAAGTATGATCTTCTTAAAATGTCCTGAGTCATTTGTTTTGGCTTTGTGTTGACTTACCAGTATGGTCAGTCAGTAAGTCAGTGAGTTCATTTAAGTTGTTGTATTTGTTGATAACTTACCTGATTTTAAAAATATTGGTTCAAATTTCTGAGAAGAACTATAGACAGCCCCTTTTCTTATTTCTAGGAAATCATCATTCATAAATAAATTTTAAAGAGGTTTGTGAAGTGAGTCAAGAGAATAAGAGAATCACCACCAACTTTCCAACTGTCCAGAGAGAATTTTGTTCATTTTTCAGAATCATATTCTCAACAATACTAATTCAACATACTAAAAATTTCTCTAATCTCATCTCATATAATAGCCAATTGCAAAAATATTGTATCATATGCAATTTTAATTCTTTATTATAATCCCTTATATACTGGAGAAGGAAGTGGAGAATATCTATAATATTAAACTTTGTTTCCTTTGTTTATATTCCATTGTTCAAAAGTTTCCTAGATGCTAGTTTCTGGCTCCTAAATTAGCATCACTTCCTCAGTTAGTTGAAGACTGTCCTGCTGTGTTATTGGTGTGGTTGAAGGAAGGATGGGCTTGAGATTTAATATTCCAGGTTCTTCAAAGTGGAGTCTTCTGATTACTGGTATTAGAGCCCAGTACAAAGGTAGATTCAAAGCAAGTCTGTGTTTTGGGGGTTTGAGGAGGTGATGGTGGGAAAAAGTGTTTTCAACAGAATGCTCAATCTCATGGTGTTCTGAAAATCTCTTTAAAGATATCAATGATGTAAAAAAGGGAGGGGCCATCTTCTCTATGAATAGGATATTATGGTGAAAAGGTATGAATCCCTTCTAAATATTGAGGTATGGAAACAGATGAAAATTAGTAGGGTTGCTCAAGCTACTACTTGGGTAGAAAAAGGCTGGGGTGGGGTAAGGAGGAAGGGGAAAGGATTACCAAAAAAAAAATGCAGTTGTTCGAACTTAACCAGTTATAATCTGGGCTTATAGACATTACCCCATTAAATATTGCCAATAACTCCCTGAGTCTGGGTGGAGAGATGAAGAAATTATTTTCTGAACTCATGTTGACATCAGATAGGATGGACTCCAAAGCCTGAGTTCCTTGTGCTACAACAAGTGGGACGGGTTGTCAATGTGTCTGCCTATATTACAAGGCCCCTGTCTGCTGAAAAATATTTCCAGCTTTGACCTGTAAGCACACTGTCCTTCTCTTATATCTGGGAATATGGTGGAACCACGTCTCTGGCTGTCAACAAAAGAGAAGGTATTGTTTAAGAAGACCAGAGATTCCAGCTCTATTTCATGAAGAGTTAGAATTACTCATTTATTATATGACTTAATTGTACTTCAAAAAGACAAGGTCAGCATCCTGGGGGGCTGGGACACAGGGCAGGTCTGTCTAATGTGGTGCAGGGTGATAAGTCCTAGAGGTTTCTCACATGTGGTAATGTGGTACTTTGAGGGCAGCTTAGATGGGCATGGACACTGAAGAATGAGTGCCCAGTGGGAGGCTGGGAGGCTGGGTGATGTTCCACATGATAAAGGGACTCCAAGGAAACAGTCATCTACTGCATAATTTTCTGAAGGCTGGTCACCAACATTCCTTTGGGAAATATATGTATGATTACCTTAATTTCATCTTTTTTATATCATTGTCTTACAAAATGTGTGTAATTTCAACTTTAAGAAGCTTACCTGGTCATAGTGCATCATGTTCTGAACTGGGCTTCCCCAGTCGAAAGCTTGGAACTTCCCAGACTTAGCAGCCTAATGTACAGACATGAAGGACACAAGGAAATAAAAACTCTCCTGGTTATGTGAAAAATAAAATCCAAACATTTCCCAGTAGTTTACTTTCATTTAAGCAATTATTAAAGAGCAGTTTTCTCATCCCCAAAATAGACTGTCTATCATCCAGGACAAAGTATTTATGCAAGTTTAAATGTAGTTTTGCTTAAAATAATTTTTCTTGCATGTCACTTCATAAGAACTATTCATTTCTTTGCTACCCAAGGTGCCTGTTTCCACAGCATTTTCATTTATATGGATTGATAGTTATTTTCAGCAGGTAGTCACATGCCAGAAAAGTTTACTGACAAGAATATTTAATAGAATGTTTTAAGAATGTGCACTAGGTAAAGTACCAAGGATTCAGGTCCACAAAATAAGTTTTACCAGCGTTTGAGAAATGATACCTGGGTCCAGTGGAGGACATTCTGAACTGAAGTTCCTGCTGGATTATGTGATAGATAGACATCAAGGCGACTCTAGAAAGCAAACATACATGCATTTAGGTATATATTCAGTACCTCAGAAACAGGTAAGATTTAAATTTTTTTGGATTCAGGTCAAGTGTGTAAGGGCAGCGTTTACTGAAACATGTGAGTAACACAGTTGTTTGTCACTTCAGAGATTGCAAAGTGCAATTGCATGAGCTAACTTGTGTAAAATTGGTAGCCACTCAATGCAGATAACTCATCATCTCCATTTTATCAAAAGGGTAATTGGGGCTCAGAGAAGTTCAGATAAATGTCCAATATCATCACAGGGTAGTAACAGTGTAGAGCCAGAGACCTTAATCTAGGTCTCTAATTCTCAGGTCTTTATCTTTCACTACTCAGTGCCAGAATGCAGTGAATGTAATGTCCACACACAGGCATCTTTCTTTGCAGAACTATATATATATATATATATAAACTATACATTAAAAATATATGTGTATACTCATATATGTGATAGTATACATGCACGCACACACACACACACACACACGTAGTATATTTACCAATTGCTATATATTCTGCTATCTTATCAGTACCTAATCCACCTTGATCAGATCCCAGACAAAAAAACCGAAATGTCCTTCTCAGATTGCATGGATTAGTTCATAATGGGTCTTAATGCTGCTGTATAGAGGACAGAGGATAGAGTCAAACAAATTGACCATCTTCATAGGGGACCAAAGTGTCTCTCCATACAATTACCATGCAGAAGATGAAATCTCTACTTTCCATTGTTTGCTCATGCCTCTAGTTCACTAGTATTTTTCTTATAAGGCTCTTATTGATGGAAAACCTTTTCTTACCATGCACTACCTTTTCTTAGTGTGATAGGAACAGACTACTCTGTTATACTCCACAAATTGAAAAAACATTCTCAGAACCATGGAGAGGGACTCCTTTCCAAGAGAGAAAGAGGAGGCTTTTAATCATCATCCAAAATAGGGACTAAGGAGTCTCCTTTGTTTTATATATATTTTAACATATCCCTAGATAGTTACCAGCATTAAGAAAGTAAAAGTCCTTGATTTCCATAAGGTTAGGAGCCATATCTGTCCTTTCACCACTGTGTTCTCAGTAAGAGCAATACTCAATAGTGCCCCATGTGCCCCATAAGTACTATTTATTGAGTAGGTACCTGTAGGAAAAATTATACCTTTTTATCAATAAACTTGATTTTCTTAGGTATCAAGAGTATGTAACTAAACAGATAATCTTGAGTGAGGATAGTTGTCAATGTCTACTAGTATTAGTAATAAACATTTAGTAATAGTGCTATTACTATGAGCTATATGCTTTGAATTATATTCTATATACTTTACATATATCAATTCATATACTCTTCACAATAACCTATTTTGTGGATGATGAAATCAAGACAGGGAAGCTTTGGTCAGTTCCAAAGATAGGATTTGCATTTAAGCTCTTAACCTGAATCCATGCTCTTAACTACTTTATGATACTGCATTTCATCATGTATGTTTTAAAACCCCAACTCAATGCAAAGCAAGTGAGATAACATATTAAGAGTATGGATAAGATCTTACATAAATAGTTGCTTTCATATATGTTTACATTAAAAATATTTCTAAGAACATTTACCCAATGCTTAGATATATTTTTTCCTACAGAGGAGCCTGCCGAAATACATGGTTCAATGCCTCTCATCACAGAATTAAAATGTTACACCAATTATTTAAGTGGTCAGAAGTGATTAATGAGCTTTTTTTTCCCTACATGCTGTTTAGTTTAGGGGAGCAGTTAGGGTAATGGAAAGGAGCTGGAGGAGACAAACCTGGGAGCAACGACTTGTGACTTCTCTTGGGCTCACCTACATATTCAGGACACAATTCTGAAGCTACTTCTAGGTTGCATGTCCTAGAAGTACCATGTCCAAGTTATGATGGGACAAGTAATCAAAAATTTTGCTCAAAATATTCAGAAAAGAAATTTCAATGCATACGAACCATGTTCAGGTTCTTATTGTCAAATCCACAAAAGATGAATAAGACGTTTTTGCAGAGGCGATCCAACGCTTCACGGGAGCACACTTCAGTAGCAAGGAACTGATCAAAAAAGCTGTGCGGGTAGAATATTTTGTAACCAAATATAATCTGAAAAATAAAAACATCATTAGAGGTTTGCAAAACTCAAGCTGCAGAGAAGACTTGTATGTTTGTCTAATTTGTTGGTACAGGTATGAATAGGTTGATCAGAACTTCCTATTTCTACATGCTGTTTTAGGAATTTCAAATGTTTTCTCTCATTTAGTTGTGGAATGGAAAGGGCAGATATCAATACTGGGCATTTATTGTTGCATTGAGAACTGTACTGGCTGCTGAGAAAGTATGAGACATACAATCTAGTTGGGGTAATAAGAGGTATGGTAAAAAATCATGAAACAACATGGCAGAATGTCTTAACTAAGTGCCAAGATGTGTGATTGCAGCAATGAATCATGAAATGGTAAGGAGGGGAAATGGTGACTCTGAGCCATATTTTCAGCAAAGTCTTTAGAAAGACAAGGAGACTAGGCAGTTGTGAAATTATAATAATTGAAAGGATTTGCCCCAACTCTTCTTCAGGAAAAGAGACGTTTTGTCATTTTCAATTTTATACATGAGAAATATGAGGCTCATAAAATAGTCAGGGTCTTAGGCTAATTCGAACTGGACTGCAGCTAGAATCCTGACCTAAGCCTCAAGCCTCTGACTAAGGTCTAATACTTTGTTTGGTTTTTGGTTTTTAAACCAGGCTCTATGTCACCTATCAGAAAAATCTGACTACAAGTAAAAAAGTAAACAAATTCTGCATCAATGTAACCAGTAAATATACTCAGGATCATCACAAAATTTTGCATTTCGAATACAAATTTTACAAATGTTGTTTGACTGGAGGTAAAGTCTTTTAGACTGTAGAGACACAAATTAAAGAAATGAAGAGCACATAACCACAGAAGGAAATGGCATCATTATATTTTATAGCCTAAAATTATACTGTTCAGCTAAAGGAAACTGAGTATGTATATATGTGTTGGCTTTTGGTGGGTGGGAGAAGTAAGGAATTATACATTAGAAAGAATAAAGAGTACTAATTCTCTCCCGTGGATGCCTACAAAGCACTTTATATTTACAGTTAATTGAAATCTATGCTACTGCCTTTTGAACTCCACTTAAAGAGGAAGCAGCTTCAAAAGGCTTGGAGCCTCTTGTCTCACTCATTGCTTTCTTTTCCTCTTTCTCTTTTTCTTTCCCTTCCCTTTGTTATCTATTCTCCTTCTTCCCAGTTTTCTTGGGCCACATAGTTTAGGCTTCTTATTTGAACATTTTGTTTTATTTTTATTTCTCCTTTCCTGGTCCAGGGGTGGAATCACAGCCTGAACATAGCTGGGCAGAGTATTTGGTACACGAACTGTCTATGAAGGAGTAAAACCACTCCCAGGCATTGCTAACCCACATAAAGCAAACAAGAATGAAGAAATGGGGATCTTAGCAAGCACAGTGGGGATTCTAACATAGTCAGTGCACATTTCCATTCCTGGATATTAATATGATCATGTCTCTTCCCATCACTTTGAAATCCACAATTTGGTATCTTAGATTCAGTTTAAGAGAATCACATACCCTTAAGAGGAATGGAGGAACATGTGTAAGTTTCTTCAGCAGGCTTTTGCTCTGCTTCACAGTGGCTACAGGAGCTAATGCATAAAAGGTTTTGATTCTTTTAGCCAGCTCAGGATTGGTAGAAAAGGCGATGAAACCTGAAACAGAACAACAAGGGACCAGTGAACAAAGTGTGTGTGTGTGTGTGTGTGTGTGTGTGTATGTGTGTGTGTGTGTGTTTATGTGTGACATTATTTTATATTTATTAAGAGTGCCATCTAAGACAACCTGATAAACCAACAACCTCTGCTTGTTTGAAATTATCAGATTTTAGTATATTTGCTTTACTTTCATAGATTCTTTATAGGACATGAGGCTAGAACTTTAAGAAGTTTATCTGGCTTTAGAAAATGGGCCAACTTTAGGATAATCAGACGGTGACTCTTTTTGTTATACCACATACAGTTTTTGATTAATTCAAATTCATGTCAACAAATGAGATAATTACTTAATGTTTAATATAAGTAGGGCGCAACAGAGAACCATAGGGTTCTCTGTTGCGATAGGGGAGGAGGGTGAAATGGGTGAAATAGGTAAAGAGGGGAAAAGTTAGTGAGAATGTTGGCTATCTTGATCTGGGTGATGCTTACATGAGTGTATATATATATATATATGTCTAAATTAATTGAGCTGTACACTAAGATTTGTGCATTTTATTGTATGCACTTCAATAAAAATAAAGTAAAACATATATATGAGTAGGATATATAAGGGAAAGATTCAAAGCATAATTTTGAAGGTTTACAAAATGGGATTTGATAATCCTTGGCTCTGTGGTTTACTAGCTTTGTGACCCTGGAGAATACACCTAAAGTCTGAGTCTCAGTTTCTCTATCTGAGATGTGGGGAAAATAATGAATGCTTCTTTAGGTTTTTAGGAATTAAATGAGGTGAATCATGCAAAGTATTTGCCAAGACATTTGGTACATAGTAAATGCTTGGCAAATGAAGAACTAAGATTATTCAAATATCTATACCTAGTAAATATACTCAGCTCCTGTCTGTAATTAATCAGTTTTATGGACAGTAATATATTAGCAGACTGGATATGATCAAAGAGTTATTAAGCTAAATTCTATATAGTTGAGCTACATAAGATAATCTCTCTCCACAGTTAATAATGGCATATTGATGAGACTCATGGACGGCCTGAAAAAAAAATGCTTTCAAATTTAGACAACTACCTGACCTATATAACATGCAGCCTGATTCTATTTAAGGAAGAATGGTCTTTCTAAGAGCACTGTGTTTATTATGAGGTTCTTTATTATGAGCAAGCAAATTTATTCTGAGAAGTCACCTGTCCTGACAGTGCATGGATCTACTGACACCCACTTGAGCTCTTTGTCTGTGATTCTTACTCTGGGTGATCTGTGGCTAGTCTGGACTATTCAGCAATCAGATAAACTTAATCCTATTTTAGACACAAGTCTAACAGGAATACTTTGACTTCCCAGTGCACAGAAGTTAGGAAGATGTAAATTCAAAGGCAAAAACAACTTCCAGAAATATGAGTGTGGTGACAGCAAAGACAAATTGTCCACTAGTGAGAAAGAAGAAATGGAAATGTTAAAATTCAAATAACTCACAAGAGTGGTTAGGGTGGAGTTATTTGGTGTCAGGATAAGAAGTTTTGCTTATCTCAATAAATCCTAAGGAAATTCATAACCCTAGATCATGAGAAAAAGATTAGACCATGTTTAATATGTGTCATAATTTGAGGTAGATTTGCATCCAAAATGGTTAAATTTTTGTATGGTTTTGGAAATTAAAGGATAAATTTTAGCAATTTAGAACATTTCTTGCTTTTAAACAAAAGATTTGGAATTGATTATTGACCATGGGTTATTGACGCTGGGCTGTGTGGCCCAGATCCCTCTCACGTCCAAGGCTTTTATTCAGCCCCAGCTGCAGAAGAGGATGTGAGTCCTGTCTGATTTTGCTTCTGCTCACAAGGAATCCAAGGTCATGCTCCCTTCCCAGGGCAGCCTGCATTTAATGCCTGGTCAGCAAGCAGGTAAAAAGGCCCAGCCACCTAGTTCCATGCATAAAGATGCTGAAGAGCCATCTCACAGAGCTGGCTGAGGTTTTTTGAGAACTGAATCACAGCCCAACTTCTCCCTCTGCCTAGTCCTGTTTTTCTTTTTTTTGGCTTTTACTCTAAAAGTGTTTCTCTAAAAAATATCATGAGTACTAATCTTCATCTCTTTGGGAACATGATCTATTACACAATGACAAAGGACATTAGAAAGCTCTTCCTTACTGACCTTTCTCTCTGTCTAGAATTCTATGGGTGACATGCATGCTTTAGGATAAACAAGCATTAGGAAGAGAATTCTAAGCTCCCACCATCAATTTCATCTACTTCTCTTCATATGTGTCCACATATGGACATTGATTGCTTAGAATTGTAGCAGGATAGCAGATTGTCAGCTGAGAGTGAGGATCAGCCTAAAAGCATGCCATTATTTCTCCTATATGATTCCCCATGCCCCCTTTTGCTTCCATCCTATTTCTCCCCTTTGTAGTTTTTCTCTCATGCTCTCTTGAACTCACTTGCTCATGTGTTCATCCCAACCACTTGGGCAGTGTTGCTGTTATTTACAAAGGTCCCCTATGACTTCTAGGCTGTCTAATCCAGTGGTCAGTTCCCAGACTTCATTGCATATGACATATCAATAGCCTCTTCCAAAGCTGACCACATTCTCCTTAAAACTACACTTACGGTGAGTGTTTGGTAATGTATATAACTGCCAAATCCCTATATGGTACATCAAAACTAATACTTCAAAAAAGTTTGTTTTCTCTTTTTGACTGCCAGAACACCAGTTACTCCCGGCCTCCCTTAAGGTACTTTCACTAGTATTTCCCATTTTCTTTACCAGAGTCCTCCTTATCTTCTAACCAGGGCTTAGTCCAGGGACTCCTTCTCTTTTCTGTCTGAACTCACTCCTTTGGTTCTTGCATCCTGTTTCATGCACTGATGACTCACATTTTGTATTTTTAGCCCAGTCCTTTCCCCTGAACTCCAGATGTGTATCTGTAATTGACAGCTGATCCCTGCACTTGAATCTTCAGTAGACACTCAACACCTAGCAACTCCCACAGTGAGTTCCTGCTCTCGCTTACCACATCAGCTCCTCTGACTCTTCCTCATCTTGGTTAATGGCTCTTTATTGGTCCAGCTGTTCAGGCCACAAACCCTGCTGTCATCCTTGACTCATCTCTTTCTCTTACACCCCACATCCAATGTAGAAGTGAACCCTGTTGGTTCCAGTTCCAACATATTCCCACCCCCTTGTCTAGATCATGGTCATCTCTTGCATGGATTATTGCAGGAGTCCTCTGACTCACTTGCCTTCTCCAGCCTTTCCCCTTCAGCAACTGAAGGATCCTGTTAACAGGATCATGTAACTTTCCATCCTGTTGAGGATCATGAGGTCAGATTGTGTGAATACTCTCTTTAAACTTCTTTTGTGTTTGCCCTTCCCATTCAGAATGAAAGCTGAAACCCCCTTCTCTCTCTCTGATTCATCTGCCCATTGAATAGCCTCACTGCCATTCCTTGAGCATGCTGGGTGTGCTTCAGCCTCACATCCTTGCCATTTGCTGTTCCCTATTACTGGAACATCGGTCCTCCACATACGCACAGGGCTCACTCCCTGACCTCCTTCATGTCTGTACCCAGAGAACATTTGGTGTTTTTCCCTACCTAAAATTGCTGTGGACCCCTCAGATGTGCCCTATTGGCCTTCCCTGACTTATTTTCTCTCCATAACATTGCCACTATCTAACATATTCTGTATTTTACTTTTTATTTTTTATTATTTTCTCTGCATCTTCCCACTGGAACACATGTAGTATGAAGATAGGGATTTTAATCTATTTTAGTAATTGCTGTATGCTTAGGACACATTGTAGGTGCTCCAAAAATATGGTGGAATCAATGAAATAAATTCAGTCCAGAGGCCATGTGGTACCATATTTCAGAGTATGGGTCTGGGAGTCAGATTGCCTGAGTTGGTATCTGAGCTACCCTATTTGTAATAACTGTGTTACCTTGCACAAATTATTTACCCCCCCCTGTTTTGTTTTCCTACATACACAACAGGAATAATCACTGTCCCTATATCATTGAATTGTTATAGGCATTCCATCACATAACGAATGAAAACAACTAGCATGATGACCAAAATGGCTGCATAACCACTGGAAAGGGGGTCTGTAAGAATAAACTACCTACCAGCCTTGAAGGCTTTTACCTACCGATGGTGGTGCCCTGGGAATGGCCAACATAGTGTAGCTTCTGCTGCCCCGTTTTCTTTAAAATGAAGTCGATTGTGGATGGAAGGTCATATTTAGCCATTTCGTCAAAGCTGAAGGTTAAAAAAAAGACAAAATAAAACTAAATACATTTCCTTGTTACAATTTCTAAAAATCAAACATATTTATCACTAAGTCTCCCTTCGAGAAATAGAAAACCAGATTTTCTAAGCATGGCTGTTTATAGACCATTAGTGACTCTCAGGGGCTCCTTGGGGAAGCTTCTTATAAACAGCTGACCTCACTTCTGAAGCACAGCATTAGAGCTTCAATTTAATCCAAACAAGATAGTGTCTGTAAGTGGGGATTATTTCTCTCTTTAAAACTGAATGTCAAATTTAATAATCATTTGTACACAGTGTTCCAGTGCCATTTAAGATGAATCATGTATCTCTCTTTTTAATTTTTCACAAATCGCCCAAAATGATCTTTTGAACATGAAAACAGCCTTATGCCACTCCCTTGTTGAGAACTTTGCAGTGGCTTCTCATTGGACTTAGGAAGACCCTACGCGGCCCTTCCTCACCTGGCCCTTGTTAGTGTATCTCCCCTCCTGTGCTCTCTCTTCCTCAGGACAGTCAGGACACACAAGCTTCCTTTCAGTTCCTAGAACTGTCAGAGCACTTTTGTGTCTCAGCATAACCAGCCAGAATCTTTTCTGTTCTCCACTCCATCAGTAATTTCCAAGAACAAGAAGACCAGTGACAGAAACCTTTTCTTTCCATGGTGTTGAATTTCATTCTTCCCCTCCCCCATCTAGCTATTGATGATGACCTCAGTTCTTGAACTCCAACTGGGTTTAAATATCATCTCCAACCCAAATCCATGTAGTCATTCCTTTCAGAATCTGCTTGGGGCAGCAAGTTTCCTTGCGTCAGCCATTTTGCTCATGCTATTTGGAAAAGCATATTAAGGGAGCCTCCTCATAACAGATACTGATATCATAGAAAGTTTGGAAGAAAAGCTACCCTTGGATTGAGGTGTATGGAAGACTCCAAGAGGGGATTCCAAGTTTCCTTCTTGTAATGTAAGATGTTAAGATGGAACTGGATTGCACGATATATACCCAAGCACTAATACCCATGCTTTTTAAACTCAATGTTTATTTTTAATCACCCATTTCTAATTGTCCCTCTTCTTTACCTGAAAGCCCAGAATTCAGCTGAGTCTGATGAATAGTATATATTTCTCCTGGACCAGGTGTTTCCCCTGCTGTTCCCCAGCCACACGTCATAACCAGCATCTGCCAGGATAAAGCCCAGGCTGTTGTTGGGCAGGTTGGAAATCCAGTTTGTGGCTGATGCGAGTAAACCGTGCTGCAAAAACACAACAGGTCTCGGGCCTAAAGAAGGAAATCATTTAAAAGCTTTATAAACTCATTCTTTATTCTAGGATAAATGTGAAGTGAGAATAGGCTTTCATATGACCAGAATTAAATAAGTCTGCTTGATTGAGATGAACATTTTGGAATATCTTATCTTAATTATGGTGATGTTTCTCAAATGATAGAACTTCTCAAAATGTACACTTTAAATATGTGCAGTTTTTCATATGCCAATTATATATCAAAAGGCTATTGCAAAAAATTATATTTCAATGATACTCAGCATGATATTAATTTAAATGGACTCTGAGTGGCAAAGTGAGTGGTCCTGCTTAATTGTGTTCTTTCTGTAGTTCACAATTTTTCTGCAATGAGAAGAAGTTAACGTTTTAGTAGTATTAGCAAAAAACTACTGTTTAGGAAATGAGCCTCGAATGGCCTCCTTATTCTCCCTTCTCTTACACACATCATGGTTAACCCTTCCTGATTGTTCAGGACTCAGGGTAGTCATTATATCTGAGAACAAGCTTGCCTTGACTTCCGCTAGCCAAGTTAGGTGCCTGGGTTAGGACTTCTGGTTTAATAGCCTGTACACAGTTCTTGTATCGCACTTATCAGATATTATTATAATTATCTGTTCATTTATCTCCTTGGCTTGATGGTGATCTTCTTGAAGACTGGAGATATGGCCTCATCATTACTGCATTTCTAGAATGAGCAAGACTCATTAAGACCTTACAAATAGATGAAAGGCAGAAAAAGAGTGGAGGGAACAAGGAAGGAAGGGAGGAAAAGTGAGAAGGAAAGAAGGAAGAGGAAAAGGGGAAAGGGAAAGAGAGAAAAAGGAACAAAGGAAAAAAGTTTATACCTCTATTCTCTGAATTTTTCTTCCCATATGGAATTCTGTTTATCCTAAGGATATAACCATCTTCAGTAAAAACCTCATATTCTTCACTTGGGTATCCCCAGTAGGATATCATCTGACTCTGATGAGGAAAAAACTTAAGTTTTAGTTGGCTTTTTAATACATCTAGTGAGTAGATATTGATCGTTATTTCTAAATAGTCATGTAAAAGTTTAAATCCACTGTGATTCTTAATCATGGTGCAATCTCTTAGTTTTACAGGTTTTTTTTCTCCCAGGTAACTTACAATATTCATATTAACTTCAGGGTTTTCAGGATCTGATTTTCCAAAGAAACCATGTGTAGTTCCAAGTGCAGATATCAAACTTGCCACTGTTAATAACAACCACATTTTGGTTTTGCCTGAAACAGAATAGTAACTGTGTCATGGTTAACCTATTACTCATATTTTGTGCTAATTTTACATTCATGCAAAATAGAGAAATGCTTAGGTTTGATTATATTGTTGGGCAGCAAACTGTAACAATAAACGTCAATACAGGCATTTTAACACTTAACATGTTTTCATTCTATTTGATTCCTTCTATTTAAGAATACTTCCCACTTGATTTTCAGGTTATATTGAACAAACCCTAATTAATTAAAAAAGGACTTCTAATTGGCTGGCATAATTTCATATTCTTATTATGCCTTATGTTTAAAGCTTTTGCCAACTTCTTTTGAGAGCCCGAAGTTGGGAGGGCATTGTGTGGACATTAGACTCTTGTAGATTTAATCTCAACATACATTCCAACCTATCATAATGGTTTTAATAATGTTCATAATAGCCACTCCATAAATATTTATTGATTGGAGGTAATTATGTGAATTTAAAAGCTGCTACCATCTTCTCACAATGTGTCATAGCCAGGGTAATGTGTGAATATGATTTCAGGAAAGTTTCATTCTTAAATTTTTGTTGAGATATTGCCTCATTGATTTTTTAGATAGGCCTTGACAAATATAAACTGACAATGTATTGGGTGTTACATTTTTTTTCACAAGTGTGTAACAACAAAATGAAAATAAGTATGAAAATTTGAAAAGATTCCAGTGATTTTCTAATTCAACCCACTAGTGTTAAACAGGTAAGAGAGAGCAACCCACTTCTTAGATGACTAAATAATAATTCCAAGTACATGAAATTAATACTATTGTTTAAATTATCAATCTTTCACATAATTGTTCTCTCAAAACTGATAGGTAAAAAGTAAAAATCAAATGTTAACCTCCATAAGATATCTGCAACTTTTACAAAAAGATTCATTTCTTAGCAGAGCTTTTTAAATCAGTAAAAAGATCAGCAAACCAATAAATATTGGTATAGTACATGATAAAGTTTCTCATAAAAGGAAAAGTGGCCTAAACCTTAAGACTTAAATATATTTGCAAATATTCTCAATTACATTTCCAAGTAATGAAATATAAATTAAAACTATAATGTTATAACATTTTTCACCTAACAAAAAGTTTTGATAATTCACAGTGATCGCAAATTTGGATTAAACAGACCCGTTAAGCGTTGTTTGTGGGAGCATAAATTTTTGCCAGGTCTTTCAAGGAACCTGGCAATATATAAGAACATTTAAGATATGTGTTCCTTCCATACCACATTTAGAAATTTAACCTTAAATATAATCACAAATATATCTACAACTGTTTAAAGTATGTTCATTACAACATTGTTTATAATATGAAAAATTGAGAATTACCTAACTGCCTATCAGTAGGGAAAATAATATAAATAATTGTACAAAATATGACAGAGTGTCATGCATATTGCTTAAAAGAAAAAAGTGATGCACGAATCAAAATCACAATGAAATATCACATCATTTGATAATGGCTATTATCAAAAAGACAAGAAATAACAAATATTATTGAGGTTGTGGAGAAAAGGGAACTTTTGTATGCTGTTGGTGGGAATGTAAATTAGTGCAGCCGGGGAAACAGTATGGAGGTTCCTCAAAAAAATAAAACATTGAACCACTGTATGATCCAGCAGTCCCACTTTTAGGTATTTATCCAAAGAAAACAAAAACACTAATTCAAAAAGATATATGCATCTCCATTGCAGCATTATTTACAATAGCCAAGACATCAAAACAACCTAAATGTTCAGTGATAGATAAATGGATAAAGAAAAATATATATAAAGGCATATATATATAATGATATATATATATATATATATAATGAGATGTAATTTTTGTCTATGTAAAATGGAATATTATTTGACCATAATTTTATACAACCTCTTGTCTAATTAGCCATTGTAAAGTGAGGACACTTAATGGTTTATGCTGTGGGATATCCCACAACCCATCCTATACATGGGCTCAAAGATGTTCAGGGGCAGAATAAGTGTCTGCAAAATACCTGTTGATAATAGCACAAACTAATGTTTACAGAGGGCTCACTATGGGGTGGGTAGTGTGCTCAATAAGTTACATGTATAAGTGAATTACCTTCTTGAAGGTAAATTTCCTCTTCTAGAAAATGCCTCAAAGTTATCAAAATTCATTAATATAATGAAGTATTAAAGTTCTTAACAACATTTTAGGCATGTAGTAAACACTGAAGAAATGCTTATTATTGTGTTATTACTATCATTCCATTTAATTCTCAGGATAACTGTATGAAGTAGCAATTTATCTCCATTTCAAAGATAAGCAAGCCAAGTTAGGACTTTCCTAACAGGTATGTAGGAAGCAACTGGCCCCATATTTGAGACTAGATAGTCTGTCTTCAAAGGTTATGTTCTTCACTGTGATGCTTTTTTAGGAGACCCTAGCAGAGCATCTATAAGGAACTACATGAGGCATTCACTAAGAGATTTATATAATTTGGTTCAAACTTGTTTTGAGGTGAGGTGTGTATGATTTGAAGAAATATATTAGTAGCTTAGGAAGTGTAACAATAGTATTAATAATGGTTAATTCAACAGCAGTTGATGTGTATGAAATTATATTATTCAGTATAGCATACTAATACAGCCAGTTCATATAACGTTAGAGGACTAATCTTTTCATCTAAAAAGGAAAAATGAGACTAGACTTTCACATTAGGCACTCATTACAAAAATACTGAATTAATAAACAAATAAAAGTCATCCAATTGCTAAGTATCTCATGTAGAGGTTAAAAAGTAAAAGAAGAAATAAGTCAAATTCTAGAAGAGTAAGTCTTAATAAGACCCATCTATATAGATAAACATGCAACAAATATCCAAGCCTTTAAAAAATGCAACAGTTAGGTTAAAGAAAAAAATTAATAATTCAAATGTTAACTTTGCTCAACAATAGTACTCACAGTGTTCAGGAACAGGACTATGTTTCTCTCAGTGTTTAATGTTTTGGTTAGTGTTGCATTTACTTATATATAAAACTTTAACAATGGCCAGTATTACTCGCCAACTGATTAAATTGCCATAAAGTCTAAATATCAGGACATCAACTAACTGTAAAAGGGAAAATCTAAAAATCAAATACTGTATTCATTTCCACATCATACTGAGTTTGCACCTTTTTTCAATGATTACAAATATTGGCCAAAGGAGTTATGATTAACAATGATTTAGGAGACATTAAAAATGATTCTTGATAGCTTCAATATATAAAAACTGTTGAGCCAAAGGTATAATGCAAATGATTGTTTAGTATGGCTCAGATAAAGGGGCCTAAGGTGACAAAAGGCCTCCTTTTGTTCTTTAAGAATGTAAAGGATACATTATTCTGACTGGATGGTTAGATAACCTCCTGCAAGTGAATGTAATCAGCAAAAGTTTTTTTTTTTGTTTTTTTTTATGGTCTGTGGCAAGGATCTGTAACTCTGCAGATAATGACCTAATATAGAAAACCTAGCCACTGCCCTTTAAAAACATGAGTGGAATCAGATTTTCTTCCTATAAAATTATTGGCTGGAGTTTGAACAATGTGATTGTGTTTATAAATGAGTTGTGCAATTAAAAAAAATTTACATTAAAAAATATAGTTGATCCTTTACAACCACAGGAGCATTTGTAGCTCATAGTGAAAGAAAAAGAGAATCATATTTTAACATGTTAAAATAGTTTGCAATTTATTTTCAGAAATCATTACTTTTTCAAATTAATACTTAAATACCTAGCAGAAATAGTGAGGAAATAATACTTTGAAAAGAACAAAATGGCTATAAGTCAACAGCTTTTCACCAAGTATCAAAACACAACTAACTAGGTATACATTGTTCAAATAAACTAGGAAGAAGAGTATATCAAATACCACATGTATTTTCATATTTTGTTACTGAAATGTCACCTTGCTTAACTCATGTTGATTGTCACTGGCAATAGCAGACATTTAAAGGAAAACATGGCAACACATTCTCATAATGATCAACATGGGAGGGAGGGTATTGCTAACTATCCTAATGCAATTTGCATTTGCTTAACTAGCAGATTAACTTTGTTTCTTCATGCTATTGTTTGCACAGATTGAAATAAGAAAATGCACGATGTGTTCCTTTTTTGTCTTTTACTGAAACTGGAAAGAATCTAGAGTCAGAGTCTGGATATATATAAATTATAGTAGTCTTTGAAAGAGATCTGTGGTTCTTACTATGACAGGGCAGTCAAACAGCCAGATATGCTCTTGCTTCCTCATAAATGCCTTAAATTGTGGTTAGCTGGGGATAATTACAGGAGTCATATAAAGCAGTAAAGGGGATTTCATTTCCAGTTCATGCATGTACCAAGGCCCATGAGGAAACATGATACTTTCTCTACTCATCCCTAACCCTGCTCCACTCGCCTTTTCTCCTCACTACCTCTCCATGTTGTTCACTGAAGAACATCACCCTGATACTGTCTTTCATGTCTCCATTTTGGGCTGGCAACTCTTTTCTGTATATTGACATGGAACCCTGTGGTTACCCTATTATAAGACTTATTCATGAATAAGCTGTTAGTTCTCTATATTTGGACACAACATACACACACGTAAACTCCTTAACTGCAGGGGGTCCCAATTTATTCAATCATTATTCTATCCTCAGTATCTACCACTTGCCTGGAACATAATACATAATCAATAAATATTTGATGAAAAATCTAATTAAAGAAAGAAAAACAATTACAAAATCACCTATACATATTTATGCACAAACATTCCAAATATACATTTTACAATAGTGAATGGCCTGATGGACATAACAAATGTAATTACTTTAGTGGAAGTATAACACAAAGGATGTTACATAATACATGAGAGAAGATGTATATATATTAAAGTATTACCATCTCTTATGTCTTATGTTAGTAAGAAATGTTGATAACAATAATAGAAAATAATATAGAGAATAATAGAAACTAAGAATGATAGAATAAAAATAAGAATAATAGAAAACAAGAATGAGAATGGAATACCAGTTAGGAGCTTTTGCATGCTCCAGTTGAAAGATGACACAGTCTTTGATCAGGATGGTAGTAGAGAAGAACTGATTCAAGATGAATTCTGAATGTTAGTCTTAGAGAATTTCACTAACACATCAGATTTAGCAGGGCACAGGGTGAAGGTAAAAAGGAATCAAGGAGGACCCTTAGGCTGTTGCAGTGACCAGCTGGGTGTATGGTGAGGCCAATTACAGAGAGAAGTCTAAAGAAGGAAGAGATGGGGTTGAAGGTAGGAAGTCAAGAAATCCATTTTTAATACATTTGACATTTATATGACAAAAGTAGACAGTTTTTCATATGAGTCTGGAGTTCAAGAAAAATATCCTTATTGAAGACATAAATGTGGGCATATTAGTATACAGATGTCATCTAAACCTTGGGATAGGATGAGACCACCTGGAGATGTAGCTCTCAGTTTTGGCTATATATTAAAATCACTTGGGGAACTTTTAAATACAGATGGCTAGACTCCAGTTCAAATCAACTGAATCACAAATTCTATGGTGGTAACTACCCATTAGTTAGAACAACAACTTCATGTTAATTCTGTTGCATTCATGAGAGATGAAAACCTGACCCAGGGAGAGATTGTACATAGAGAAGAAAAAATGGTCCCAGATTGATCTCTGGGGCTCCCCCATACATAGAGACCCAAGATCCTAGCAAAGGTCACTGACAAGCAGCAGCTAGGTGGGCTGAAAACAGACAAATGTGATCCCCTCAGGAGATGAAAGTGTTTTGAAAAAGTATGGCTAACTGGTTTTAGTGCTACAAAGAGGTCAAGTGTGATAAGGGCAAATATAGTGTTTTTAAGTTTATTTTTTGTTGAAGCATAATATACGTTTTGTCAAGGGCACATATCTTAAGTACACATTTTGACTACTTTGTGTACATGTACAACACTGGATAAACCACCATCCAGGTCAAGATATGGAACGTTTCCAACACCCCATAAGGATCTTCTGTGTTCCCTCCATGGTCTTATCTCCCTCACTGCCAGCAGGTACCTGATTTTCTGACTAATACAGTACAGATTTGTTTTACCCATTTTTAAACTTCCTGTAAGTATATGTTCTTTGTTTCTTACTTCTTTTGCTCAGCTTTATTTCTGTGAGCTTCAACTATGTTATGTCATATATTAATAATTTGTTCTTTTTACAACTTCATGGTTTCAGTTGAATGAATTGGTTACAATTCATTCAGTCTCCCGTTTAGAGATATGTGGGTTGCTTCCAGTTTATCAGCATTTATGAATAAAGCTGCTTTAACCATTCTATACATGTCTTTTGATAGACATATACTTACATTTCTACTGGGTATATTCCTAGGAATGGAATTACTGTGTCACTAGGATATGTGTATATCTAACTTTATTAGAGCTTGCCATAGAGTTTTCCAAAGAGTTGCATCAATTTATACCTCCTTCAGCAATAAATGAGAGTTTCAATTTTTCTATACACTCACCAATACTTAATATTATCATTCTTTTTATTTTTGACCATTCTGGTAGGTGTGAAATGATATTTAATTACAGTTTTAATTTGCCTTTTGCTGATATATATCAAAAGACATTTTCATAGACTTACTAGACACTTACATATCTTCTTTGGAAAGTTCCTATTGAAATTTTCGATTAATTTTATCAAATTCTCTATTATTGATTTACCAGAATTCTTTCTATATTTTGGATATCAGTTACTTATTAGATGTAAATATCATAAATATTTTCTTCTAGTTTTTCAGTGGCTTGCTTTTAGTCTCTTAATGGTCTTAATGGCAACTTTTGATGAAAAGAACAATAATTTTAATGAAATGCAATTTCTTGATTGTTTTATGGTGTTTTTGCATCACAGAGAAATCTTTACTACACCAAGGTCATGAAATTATGTTGTCTTCTAGAACTTATTGTTTTACCTTTAATATTTAGGTTTGCAACCCATGTCAATTTAATTTTTATACTTGGGGAGAGGAAGGATCAAGGTTAATTTTTTACTATGTGGATGCCTAATTGCTGCAGCAACATTTCCCCCACTGAATTGCAATGTCACCTTTATGATTAGTCAAGTCTGGCCCTGTTTCTGGACTCTCTATACCACTCTATTGATTACCCATATTCTAAAAAGTGGCCATAATCTTCCCTCAAACTCTAACAAAATGTTGTGACAAAATGGCAGAGGTGAGGGAAGAATGTGGTTTATGAGTCCTTAACACTTTCAAGAATTATTTTTTGGATCAAAAGGCCTGAGAATTACCACTCTACTTTGACATTTAAGTAGAATGCAATAAAATAAGGAAGTATTTGCTCCTGGAACCCCTGTCCTCTCACTGATATTTCAAATGCTCTCAATCCATATAGGATAATTTTTGGCCTCCTCCCACATTCACTGCCAACATTCACAACTCTCAGTTCTGACCATTCCTGTTCAGAATGGCTTTCAACGTAGTAACTGAAGAGTCAGCATACATATTGTAGCTCACTTTTGAATCTGACAATAAATCAAATGTCACTGTTCTGCTTTGAACCAGTAGATGAATGTGGAAAGAACTGAGCAAGACCCAATGGGAGAGGCACTTCCTTGTAAGTGGGACCATGCCTGTGTACACTGTTAAACCATCTTCTGGTTCATAATCACAATGAGTGGCAAGCACATTTTAGAAATCTACTGAAACCTATGGGCCCTCTCCCCAGCAATGCATTGCATATATACACAAAATGTTACCTATAACTTTTGAGGGTTTGTGAAATTCATATGCAAAGAATATCTGTTCCAGCTAAACAACTGCCTTTTAGGAGTCAGACTGTTTGTCATGTTTCCTTTTCTATTTTTTCTAATGTGGCAGTGATTGGGTTTTTTTTTTTTGTCAATGTGTAAATTCAAAATACTAGAATCATTT